CTGTTGAAGATGACTCACATACCAGTAACTCATTGGTATGCTGAAAAATGTCTTCGAATGAATTTTTTATTATTTTTAATTGTTTCAACTTCTGTTTTAGAAGACACGATATAGTTAATTCATAGTAGGTATAAAAATTATCAATGTATAATGTTCATCCCTGTATAATGTTCATGTCTGCAACTTACTTTGCTGTAAGTTGCAGACATACATTATATGCCAATCCAGTTCCTCTGATATCACAATGTTAATACCATGGGACTTGAGAAATATAGGAAATTTAGGGGTGTCCTATTGTATTGTCACAAAATGTAGTTGGCTTTTCACTATAGATCCTTATTATATCTATATATATCCTTTAGGAGAGCATAATTTAAATTATTTTATTCTCTATTTATGGGCTTTATTTGGAATATATTACTTAATTGTCAATCTTTTATACCATGAAATTAATGTTTCGTCAATGATGATATTTCTTCCTAGTTTAAATATTTTTTGATACTTCTTTTGTTTTTTTTTCATCCCACAGTCGAAATACCTTCCCAAGTCTATTACTATAAACAATAGTAGTGTTATCAGCAAACTGAAAGTTGCTGAAAAGTATAATCTTTCGAATCTGTTCTGTGACATGATGGTACGCAGTAAATCAAAATTATACAATGTGCTTTTTAGCAATAATTGTTTATTGAGTTGACTCTTACATCAGAGAATTGATCTCAAGAATTTTCTTATTTCATCTGGTTTAGTTTATGTCTATTGATGCATTCGTGCAAATTGAATTAATGTGGCTTTATTTAATTTTTATTCTGTTTATTTGTTCTATGAGCAAATTTATCAATTTGTTATCAGCTTATAAAGAAAATACATCATGTGAAGTATAGTATAAGTAATTGTTGATGTCGGTTGTCCGAGTAAAGGTTTTCTGATGTCCACAAAATTCAATCTACCTAGATAAAAGATATCTTCGATATCTTATTAATTAATTCGTGTAAGATTTGTTCAATAGCATCTTACTATATATTTATATAGCATCAAGTTAATTATCGCAACTATTCGCTCATTTATATCAAAATAAAAGTCCGATGCATACAATTTTTTGTTTTTCTTTTTAGAAAAATCTAAATTCTTTCCTATCATTATTATGCAAATTTTTGTAAAACCCATAGGTTTCTTCTTTACTACTAGATGATTTATGAAATAATATTGTGCTCCTTCTTTTCGCCATTGCAAACAATTAGCCCAATGTTTAAGACTTTCAATTGAAGGAATATATTATTTTTTAGATGCTTTGCGATTACAGACTTTCAACAGAAATTTGTTGAAAAAATATACATACACATACACATACATATTTGCATACAATACAACTATACATATTCGTCTTCACAGTAACTCTTGTGAGTATTGTGGTATTTTTTTAGTATATTACTGGAAAAAATATTCTACTATTATTATAAAATCCCATTTTGAATGTCAATAATCAATAAATATAGTTATATACTGTTACGAGCGGGTTTAGAATTGATAAGTCATTATTATACATCAAAACTATTTTGACGATAAATATTGGGTATATTTTTGTCTTAGACTCTGGTCATTTGGTCTGAGAGAATGTGACTCGTAAGCATTCCAGATTATTTAAGTTTTGGTGGAGTCAGGGAAGTTTTCAGAAAAACTGTTCCTTGGTGATAACGAATATTGCAGATGATTGCATCTTACAGCGCGACTTTTGTGAAAAATAGATTTGATGGAGCTATTGGGGTGAGTTGTATTACAAAGTTCGGGTTCACTAGTGAGAGTTTCATGAGAATTGATTAATAGTTTGAATAACGTGCTTCAGGAAAATTCTAGGAATTTCTCGATAGAGCAAGAAAAGGATTTTCCAAAATTCCTTCAAAAATGTTCAAAAGAATTCGCAAGAAATTGCGGAATTGTTGAACATATCATAGATCTAGCCGATTCTCTATAAAATGATCCTCCTCCAATTCCTTGGAGGATTTTTCATTTGAAAGGAAAAAAGAGGAAGTTAACGATACGCGTTTGGAAGTTGTTAGGAATCCAAAAAATTAGATCGACGGCGTTATATCTACAACAAGACGGACTTGATTGATCATCTGGCAAAATTCGTTAGGATCAGAAAGATTAGGATCAGTGGATTCTATTGTGTTATTTAATTTATAGATCCGCAAGGCATAATATTTCAGCAAAAATGTTAACTAGAAATGACTTAAAAATACTATTAGATTTTCTTTGTTGTCCATCCGTATAGAAAAGGGAGATACACATTAAAGCTTATGTCTCGAAGCTTAATACGAAGCTAGACGAAATCCATGGAACCATAAAGAAGCGGATAGAGATGAAGTTTTGCTTGAAGAAAAGCCTATTAAAGGGTCAGAAGGTATGTTCAACTCTCAATACAGAAGAGGCAGAACGAAGAAGCTCAAGAGCAATTGGGAAAGCACATATAAAATTATGAAGAAAATTAACGATGTGGTGTACACTTCGAGGAAAGATCTTCAAGAAAGAAATAAGAAAATCTTTAAGAAAGAAAAAGAAAATTGATTATTTAGATAATCTAACGCTAATAAAGGAATTAAATAAAACGGTAGAAAAACGTAAGCACAAATCTATGTGTGATTAACACTTTTGCATGAATGAAGCGTCACATGTTCTGACTTAGGTGTCATTAGTGCAATTTTTAGTGTGAAAAGGACCATAATAATTGACTTCAACATTCGAGAAGGATTTAGTCTTATTCACATGAATCTTGACCCTGAATGTAAATAGGAGGAGATTTATTTTCTTTATTTGTTTGGTGTTACCTATTGGTAAGTGTAGCATCGGTTTCAGAGAGGATACTGTATGAGTTGTGTGTCGGTATATTTTGTAACCACATTTCGAATTGATGGAACGTGTGTAAATTTGACATATTTGTAATTGTATTAGATTTGCTCTTTTTGATAGTAAATAGAGACTCAGCTCGATAGATCGAAGCGTTAGTGGACATGTAGACATCCTTTACTAAGTTATTTGATGTGTTGCGTACGGAGGAGGTGTCACCCAATATTGAAACTTTCAGGTTTCTTGGTGGCATATTTGAGCCAGCGACCATACGATGTACGCCTACTGTCTTACTGCGCCGAGATCATACAAGAGGTCGTTAATGTACGTTACAAGAACTATAAACAAAAACAAAGCACGAATAATAGGAAATACGTCTATCCTGTACAAATTTAGCGAATAGAATGAAATAATAAGTAGATACGTATAGATCACCTCGATCAATGCCCCCACGTAAGTTGTGTTGCTGGCAACTGCATTATACTTTTTAATTCTAAATTTTTTTTTATCTCTTCATAGAATTCTTTTCGAATCCATCATTCCAGTATCATTTCAATTACTTAAAAGTTACACAGTTCCCTTGTCCTTTCAAGCTAAAAATGTAATTTTTCCTTTTTTATAGAAACAAGTTTTCTTAACTAAAAACTTGGATTTTTTTCATAAATGTTGGAATGGCTTTCCTCTTAGTTTTTATAATACTAGTCAAATGGCATTTCATTTTTATTGGTTTCTCTGCCGAAGATATATTGGCATAATATCTACCAGTAAACATATGGTAATCCTGTTCCTTGGAAATTTTATTTAACAACTTTTGATATAATTGCTGCGGAATTCTAGTGCTAACTGGTAGATTTAGACGAATAAGATTTTCTGATGTAATATTTTCATAATAAGGTAGGATGGTACAGATATATCCTGCTTCAGAATTCATCATCGCATAGATTCTTATATTCCATTTTGTTGGCTTAATCGTGTTATATGTAATGAAAAAATTTTCCCTTCAAATTTTACTATGGATTCATTCACACAAATATTTTGACCAGGAATGAAATGTTTATAAAATGTTGAATTTAGATACTCTAAAAAAATACTGGCTCGTTGTATTTTGAGATTTTTGCTACCTGAGTTAGGAATTTTTAAATGAAGCATTCAAAATATTGATTGACTCGAGTTCTTGTAAATATATCCGTAATAAGAATTCTACTGTTATGTTTAGTTGACAAAAACTAGAAATAGACATTGTACATAAAATGTATATTGTATTTATAATGAGTCTCTTGAAAATCCAAAATTCATTTTTACTTACATCATGTCATGTTGGCCTTACGGAACCTTTAGTTAGATTTTAACAACAATAACAAGATTTTGCATATTTGTTTATTTCCTTTATTACTTCATCAACTAGTTGATTCGTGAAAAACAGTGTGAATAACTGAATCGGTTCAAAACTATTAAAGGATCTGTTACTTTTGATCCTATTGAAAAATTTACTCGAAGTGGCATGTACACATTCTCTGTAATAATGATCCAATTATCTTTCTTTGAGATGCTTGCGTTATTATCGATGTAAGATTCAATAATCCCGTACCTTTCGTCTTTGATAAATTATTATATCGCTGTCGTCATTATTATTCTCAGTATCACGTTTTCTTTAACGAAATTAATGTGTATTGTTCACTTAAGAATCACTTGAATCCTTAAGATTTGTAAAAAATATTATAGATTTTATGGCATATCAATGGTTATGCGTGTAAATGGAATTTTTTATTATATTTGGTCGTTATAATAAGCGCTTTATCTTCGTTAGTTTTCATCACGTGGAGGAGCTTCTTATGGTCATTTCTATCACTCTGCACTGTACTCGAGTATTCTCAGTGGTAAGTGCTGCTGTTCGTAATGATGATGGTGGTGATGATGTTGTTGCTCTTACTCTTATTTTTGTTGTTGAACCTTCTCTGTGATTGAAAATATCGGAATGGAAAGAGAATGTTTTCCCGAAATAGAAAAGAATTTTGCCTAGAAATAGTATCCGTGGATTCTTCTGTACTCTTGAACAATGAGTTGACAAAATGGAATGAACTTGTTATTGTGTTGAAAAACGTTTCGTTCAATAGATAAAGGCCTGATGATTCCTACTCATTATTCAAATTTAATCTTCTCAAAGTTCATAGAGTTACTTTTGTTTCTACAATCCTTACATTCTGCGTTTTTTGCTTGTGCTGACATCCTCTTTTCGCAATCTCGATAACGTACAAGTTTTATTCCCATTATTCTCCTTCAAAAGTAGATCATCAGAAAGATTTGTATCCAATGTACGATCCTTCGTTTCTTTGCTATCTATTTTTTCCCACATGAAGTAATTCGCCGAAGTAGACGGAATTGACGATAAAAATCCTTGGCGAAAAAGGAAATTAAAAAGTTAAATTTCTTTTGAAATAAATTGGTTGAGAAGATTCCTTCGGACCCGTTGTTCTTGATATTCAAAGTTATAAATTAATGACCGTTTTGTTCGACCCTCAAATGAGCTGATTCTTCAAGGAAGTCGGAAGAAATTCTACAGAATTTCTTGGAACTTGTACATTCACATTTACGAAATGATTATTAGGACATCTCGTAAATGTGAACGTCAAAATGTATTGAGGAATTTTTGTGAATGAAAGTACTGCTTCCGTTATTGAGATATTGCTCTCCCGCGAAGCCTTGATTCTCCATCTGAAATAAAAGAATCGATTCGATCAGTTCTCCAACTTAATTTTATCGAAAGAACGAATTGATTTGCATCGAATAATTCGATTAAAATGCATGATTCTTAATGCAGAACTCGAAGGTAAAGCGGAAGAAGATAAGTATGTGTCGATTCAATATGCCAATTTAAAATTATACGTATAAATTTATACTCATTTCACAAGCGTAAAAGGTTTGCTTCCAAATATAATTAATGATTTAGCGAGCTACATTGTCCTTCGGATTGCCTATTATTGTTTTCCCGTTAAACGATTAATTTTTCTTCTCTTTGCTAACTCGATTAGAAGTACTAATGAAGTGTTCATCAAATGTGGATATTGAAGAGTCTGACATTCCCATGATGATCTGTATGATCGTTAAATGGATTAATCACAATGCATCTACAATTTTGACAATTCGATTTGAATTACGTTTATTAGCTTGTCCTTCTGTCAATATCTATCGAAGTAAAATTTGTTTATGAAAATGCATTTTTAGTTGCATTAAACAAAAGGAGAAAGAACAAAAAGAAGAATTCTTTTATCGTTTATTATTATTAAATCATCTGCCCCTAGATCCGGTTCTTATTAGTCGAGGTCGTTCGCATTTTCTACTTGATACAGGTGTCGCCTCTTTATCGATTCGCATACGGCTTTATCTTTGATGTCGTCTTCCGTTTCTTTATCGATATCATCTTTGTTCCCTTTATTTATTTCTGCATGGGTTGGAATAGCATTAAAAAGATTTAGTTATTCATTGCCATCATTTACATCCAATGTAATTGAAGTGTCTGTTTTCATATCTCTATTTGGTAGCGCTTTCGAGAAAACGTAGTTCTCCTGATTATCTTCATCATCGATACCATTAATTTGTTTTCTTGCAGAATGTCTTCGGCGGTGATGGTTTACTGGAACATTATTGTGGTCTTGGATTGGATCATTTTTGTCACAATAAATGAACAGTTCCAGAGGAATGTAGCGTGAATTTAATTTACTCAGAATTGAGTCTTCTTCTTATGAAATAAGGTCTGTAATTAAGCTATTGTTTGTACAATCAATGTTGCTATAGTATTTTCTGATTGTTTTGGAGGAAAAACAGTCAATTCTGTTGATGTTGGCATTGTTGTAAATGGTCTCGTTTTTTATTCTCCTTTTATAATCTGATTCAGCAGTTCTATGCGTTCTTAGGCATGATCTCAAGCAAGATCTTTCAAATCTTCTTATTTTTTTAATTATAGTTGGACCTGTATTCCATAATATAGGAGCTGCATGAGTTAAAATAGACCTCACCAGTAGTCCATTTTGGCTTTAGTAGCAAGATTTTTATTGTAAAGAATTCTCGAATTCAGCTTGAAAGCTTTATCTAATTGAATCGAGTAGTGTTTATTCAGACTTAACAGATGGTCTAGATGAACTCCCAAATATTTCACGATGCGTTTCTTCGGTATCTCAGTTAATTCGTTGGTGTGAGTGTCAATAGTTGTTAATTTTAAACTATCTATTTTTTTAACTGCAGAGTATTAGATTTGTTTAACTGGTCTTCTGAAAATAATTAATTCGCTTTTACTTGGGTTGATTTTTAAATTCCAGTTTTTGTAATAACTATTAATGTCATTGATGACTGCCTGTAATGTGCATCTGATTTTATTTATGTCCTTGACTGCTTTATAAATTATTAAGTCGTCTGCATAAGTAATTGAATGTAATTTATCAGAGTTGTTCATGGCAAACTTATTGTTTGGTTCATTGTTGAATAGGATTGGTGATGTGACGGTTCCTTGCTGTAACCCCTCTATTATTTTGAAGGACTTTGATGAGAAATTGATGTTGTCCAACGTGCGAAATGTCTTCCCCTCAATCATGTTAGCAATCAGAAGAATTAAACCCACAGGAAGTTTATAATCGTCTAGATTATGTATAAGTCCGTTTTTCCATATAGAATCGAACGCTTTTTATAAGTCCAACAATACAGCACCAATGGCGTATTCATTATGGAAGTAGTTATTCAGATCGGAAATTAGTTTGTGTATAGCGTAGTCCTCAATATAGAGTAGTGGATAAATTAAATTTAAAACCAAATTGATTATTCGGAATGATGTTATGAGTATTATTATGATCCATAATGTTTTTCTTGATAATTTTTTCGAATATTTTACTTATGTTAATAGTAAGACTAATAGGTCTATAACTTTGTGGTTTTTTTGGATTTTCCCTTTTTTTAAAATCAGTAGAACTTTTGCTTGTTACCATCTATTTGGATAATATGCGTGATTTATGGCGTTGTTGAAAATTATTGTGTACTCGGTAATTATTGATAGTGGTAAATTTTTGATGACTTGATGGAATTTTGTCAAGACCATAAGAAATTTTATTTTTTAAATTCCTGATAATCGTTCCGACTTCGGTGAACGAGATGAAATATTTTATTTCATTCTTGTTTTGTAGCGGATCATGTACTGGAAATTGATCAGAAAAAATCATGAAGGTAGATTTGGTATTCCTCATTCTTCGTAAAATATCATGGTACTTGTGTGCGGTATCATCTGCTTTATTTTTAGTGATGGTATTTTCATTAGTGTATCTTGACGAATTGATTTTCTGCCCATGACCTCTAATTTTATCATTGGATCAGTGATATGTATTTCATTTTCATAATCTAATTGCGGCATTTTTCTACCAATCTCTTGATTAAATTAGTTTTTGTTTAAATCAAGTCGGAAATTTTCAATACAGATGTGTTTTTGTGGTCTTAAATATTTGTTGTTGGTCGGAAAAAATTCGTTTGCTTCTTTGTAGTTTATTTTTCTGGCTATTGATGACCAATATGATGTAACAGATTTTGATATTTCTATTTGTAGTCGTTTATTAATTGCTTTAATTGTTCTTTTAATACGGTATGTTTCCTGTTTGCTGTGGTTATATGGGCTTCGGTATTTAATGAAGTGTAATTTCGTTATTAGAAAGGACTTTGTTGAATGTAACTTCTTGATATTGTTGCTAATGTATTCCTGGCAATAGTCATTCTTATTTGTTTGATTTTTACGTAAGATTTGCCTAATGGATTTGGTAATTACTTGTTCGAGATTCATAATGCTTTCATTTATTTCTTCTATTTAGAGATTTCTATTTGTGGGCAGTTGGTTATTATTCTGTAATTTCGAGTCAATATGTTTAGCAAACTTACTCCAATTCGCTCTTTCGAAACTGTAGGTGGTTGATCTAGGTGGTTTCAGTAGTATGCCTTGGAAAAGCGTATCTGTATCTATTTTATCACGTTGACTGCCGTGGGGGTCACCAAAGACTGGCACTCGACTTGGCTACAGCGCCGTGGAGGCCACTGGTGACCAGCGACGCGACGGATAGTGAAAATATATAATTAAGGTAAACATCGATCCAATAAATTTTTTAAATAATACCATTGATTCCGTAGTGGTTTAAAGAAATGAATTCCGTACAGAACATGTAATTATAATTTTATTTATACAAGGAAAATATACATATTATTTGTGTACATAACGATGAGTCACATTGAAACACGATAGGCAAAGAAAAGATGAACTAGGACAGTCGGCACAATATGTCGCCACTTTTTTAGTGTAATTCTATGCTCTACTTTTCTTAGCTATTTTGAATTTTTTTCGTAGCACTTTTTGCAAAATCGTCTTACATTTCCCATACTTTCCGGTCCTTATTTAAGTTCATGACGACGTTTTTTCTGTACGTAATTTCTTGATGAGATGGAATCTTCATCATCAAAACATATCATTCAATACATCGCTAACTTCTTTCTAAAATCGACGACTGAAATATTTTTTCAAGTTGCTTGTTTGTATAACACCATTGAATTTACAACACAAGTATTCAGCAAAAGCTCTATTGCCAATTTTTTGTGCCCCTTTATAATTTTTTGCAATGGTGAACTATAAGCAGTCATTTGATCAGACAGATCAACTGAAGATTTCCCTAAATTATAATCTACTACCATTTTTGGCTTCTCATACGGCCAAAATGGTCTACAGCGCCTTAAGGGCTACCGGTGACCCCTACCACGAAAATTGCATAAGACACGTTTATACAGCTCACCTTATCTGCTGTAAATAATATTTGAACATAATATGCATCGCATAATAAAAAATTTATGTTGGCTTCTTGCGCAAGTCACGTAAAATTCGCGCGGCAATCAACGTGTTAAAGGTTAATGCGTTGTGTGTTTTATTTTGTTATTATATATATAAATCCAGAATCTCTATTCTGCTGTCAGCGATGCCGTAGTCAAAATAGGAGCTGCTTCTAATGTATGTGGGATTGGCTGTCGAAAAGATCGTTGTTTTGAATTGAATACCGTTATTCTGTTCCCATTGATGTAGGCGTCTATCTCTATCGTTTATGTAGTCTTATCTCCCAATATATGTTTCTTGCATTTAAGTCTCCCGCAATGATGAAGTATAGGTCGTTGTCATCTAATTTGAAGTCTTTAAATAATTGATCTAGTTCTGTTATAAAT